TTATATACTAGAGCTTCCAGTAAACATTATAGGTAGGGATGTGTTAGAACAATGGGGAGCTTATTTGGTAGTTCCATAATAATGTTAAATATAATGCCTCTGTAAATAATGTTAAATATATGGTAACAGTTTAAATACAGGATATTTTGGCCAGCAACAGTTTAAATACTGGGCAACATGTTGCAACAGTTTAAATACTGGGTAACAGTTTAAATACTAGATATGGCAGTACTGGATAACAGTTTAAATACTGGATATTTTGATCAGTTGGTTTAAATGACGTCATATGTATATATGTGTATATGTATGTGTGTGTGTGTATATATATATATATATACACATATATATCCTATAAAGATACAATGGAAATCTTCTCAGTCAACAGCTTAATGATTTATTTGGATAGATTAAAACTAGAGTATTATGATGTTGTCTCTTTGCATTTTTCTTTTAGGTACTATTGTTTTATGTGTTTCTTATAAGGAGCATTTTGTTGTATAAATTTGGATTAAGTACCTATTCCCCCGGTCATGGGTGCTTAGTCTGGGTTCATGTAATACAATGTTTTTGCCAATCCAGATTGACAGCCCTCTTCAAAGGGATTCAACATGCGAGTAAAAACTTTTAGGCTAAGAATGATAAATGCCTTTTTGTATTATTTATATTGGAAAATTGTCACATGCTGTTTGAGCTCACTGAGACACTGACTCTGGAGGTGGGATTGGCCCTCCCACTTCAGGATCAAGCCTGTTATATCAAGATATTCATTCTCCAAAACTCCAGTCTCAGGCTGGCCCCCTGATCCTGTGACAAGAAAAGGAGACACAAAACAGCCTAAGAGTAAAACACTGTATGGTTACAACAGCTAAGGTGTAAACTACTGATATAGAGGGAATTATTGTCTATAGTAAAAATGGTCAATGGGATCCTCTTTGTGGTCATTAATACAGACTACAGTAATATGTATGGTTATATAAGAGATAAATTTAACTGGGTACCTTCTAGCTACAATGTCATGGATACATTAAAATGTACATTAAAAATTAAAAGGAAGGAATTATACACCAGATTATGAGGAATTTAGAATTTTAGGATATAAGAATCACAAATTATTAGTTATTAATCAGAGATTTTGTTTATTATTAATGGTTGTGTTTATTATTATATAAGATTTTGTTGATTATTAATTTAGGACTTCTATGAGAATTTGTTTAGTTATTAATATATGAGATTTTGTTTATTATGAGATAGTGTTTATTATTAACTTTCTAAATCTGCCCCAAGGAGAAGTTTTATCTCGTGCAGATGAGCATTTTTAACAGGAGTGATAACAAGAATTATCACTCCTGCCTGATCCAGTGAATGTCTGGATTAAGCGAGGAGAATCCCAAGATTGGGTGCCAGGAAAGTTACTAATACCAGGCAAAGGGTATGGTTTTGTTTCTACAGGAAATGGAGTCTCTTTCTGGCATCCCAGCTGATGGATCTGTTTGTAGACATTGACCAGTGAAGATGGCAATCTCAGAATGTGAAAGTTTTTCCTATAATCAGACACTTGAAAGACAAGCTTTAATATGGCAAAATTATAGGGGGTTAAAAGGAAAGGTTTATAGGTCTCAGAATCATACTTGGATTGATTCGGGTCCTTTAGGAAGTTGGTTCGAAGAATGTAAGGATTATAAGGAGTTTTCTTCAAAGTGTAATCTAAAAAATACTGTTCCTATGAAAGAGAAGTTTAATACTGTGAATCCTATTGCCAATCCTCAACCTCAGATAATATGACAAAGACTATATTCTCCTCAATTACATGTATGGAAATTATTAGCTGCTCTTAAGCCTGTAGATATTTTAAATGTACTAAAAATTCTCCCACAAATTATGATTTTTTTAAGGTTAAAAATAATATTACAGCTTGTGTACATTTCCCTTTAGTAATATTAATAGGACCCATAATCATACAAGGGATGAAGTTAACTTGTCAAAACTGTAGTTTATATACTTGCCTTAATAACTCTGTATTGTTTAATCAATCTTTTGAATCAGTCATGATTTTAACTCAATGAAATTCCTTATGGATTCCTGTGAAAATGTATCATCCCTGGGAAAGCAGTCCTATTCAAGGATTAATTGTGAGATTTTTTTAAAAAGACTGTTATGATGAGGCAAACATATGATTGGCTTGGTTATTCCCACTATTTTGGGACTTATCTCTCTAGCTACTATGGCTACTACTGCTGGTGTGGCACTTCAGAAATCTCTTCAAATGCAAGACTTTGTTGAACATTGGCATGATGATTCTCATAAACTTTGGACATATCAGGCTCAGATTAACTCACAACTACAGGAAGAAATTATGGCTTTACAAGGGGGGGCTACATTAGTTGGGAAATAAGTTATTGGAATTGCAAAAAACTATACAATATGTATGTGATTGGAATTCTTCTCAAATTTGTATTACACCATATAAATATAATGCTTCCGAATATGAATGAAAAAATATAGAATTGTATATTCAAGGCAAAATGGATAATGTAACTTTCAATGAGATACAACTGCAGGAGGAGATATATGGGATATTTTCAGAAGAAATACCTTCTACAAGTTCTGTTGATCAAATAGCTACTACCTTAGCGAATACCCTCTCTGGTCTTGATCCTTGAGGATGGTGGCAAAGTTTGTCACATAGTCTTGGATCTTCGGCTGTTACTTTTATAATACTTTTATGCTTATTGTTTCTAGGATATTGATGTGTTCTTGGAATTATGACTTGCATTACTAATAAACAATCTGCTGAAACTTTAGTCACTGATTTACATTATCAAAATGAGAAAATGAAGGCTGAAAATAATAAAGAAAGGGGAATTGCGAGGGTCTGATCTCTGATCTGAAATGAACTCAGAGCTTGAACGAGAGGCCTCAGTTACTCTTGGCACACCAAGAGTAAGGAGGAAGAACGCTTCCTCCCTGGTGACTTGAATGTTCTTGGCCTGAAGTTATTCTTATCATGAGACTAACTGTTCCTTGAACCCTGTTACAGGTACATAAGTAAGCTTGTATAATAAAGCTACAAAGATAGATAAGATCCCAAAAAGGGCTGAGCCCTGGGAACTTGAAGATACCAGGAAGGTACTGCAAATATTAGAATGAGACAATTTGGCTTGAGAAGAACATTTTCTTTTCCTCTTGTTTTACTATAAATAAGGTTGCTTCTTAGAATAAAGTATGCGCTGATTCACACTCCATTGCATCCCCTGCATCCTTATTTCTCTTGTACCTATACCTCGGGGTCCCCAAGCCCATCAGGCTTGAATTGTGGACACTGAACCATGACAAGTTCTCCTGTTTCTGTCTTGTTGGAGACCACCTCCCTGGTTGAACTCTGCAGAAAGCATGCTTGACTACAAGTGCAAAGTTGACAGCAGTCAAGATTGTCTATGATGGCAGAGCCAGATAGGCATGTAAGGGTTCTGAAACACAATGTCCCTTATGTTTATGTTTAGATCAGATAATAAACTATGCCTTATGCACACTGTTGTGTGAATAGCTCCTCTGTACCCTACAAACAGAACACACGTTGTTGTTTCCTGAGTGCCTGCAGAAAAATGTCCTTGAAGTGCATAGTATTTGCTCCTGAATACCTGCTTAGACTACCCCATCCCTGGGAATAAAACCTTGAGAGTTAGAGACTCGGTGCTCTTTGTTCTAAGGAACAGGGAGCCTCCTGGTCCCCAGATTTCTTAAATATTAAATTATCTGAGTGTGATATCTTATTATGAGATACCTCGCCATCCCTTTGTGTTCACCTCTACCCAGCCATGCAGGACATAGCACTGTCTCCCACATGAAAGCCCATTTCCAATCATCTCCAACACTGAGGGTCACATGCCCCTTGCACACACTGAGGTCAGTTCTATCAGAGTTGACTCTGAGCAGCCTTACCCGCAAAGCATGTTTGCTGCCACAGTATCCACTGGAAAGGGGTACAGACATAATTCCTGCAAGGCTGTTCACAATAACAATCTTCCCTTGCTTCCTCTCCATCATGTGAGGTAGAACACACTTGGTCAAGGACACCGTCCCTAAGTAGTTCAGCTCCATTAGCTCCTTGATGACATCCAGGCTGGTTTCGAGAGCCAACGATCGCTGGGATCTTCCACCATTGTTGACCAGAATGTCAATCTAGTTCCAAACAGTCAGAAAATGGGCACTCTGGGGCTATCCGAAGGAAATGGTTGCATATATTATTAACATGATGAATAAATGGGACATTGATATGGTTCTAGGAGGCAGCAATTAAAAATAAAATAAGCAGAATTCACCAATGGATTTCCATTTGAGGTAAGTTGAATGGGCAGCAACAAATGTCAGAAAAACAAAAACATCAGTAAGTGTTAGCTTCTTGCAGTGTACACTGAGGAATCAGTGCTTTGAAAGGATGAGAAATACTAATTAGCTAAAGCTAAAGACCCAAAGGTTAAGGAGCCAAGTCATGAGGCTGACCTTCCTGCATGCATCCCATCTGTCTACATCCTTTGGAACGAGACACCACAGATGAGAATCCCTTTGGTACTTTTTTCAAAGATGGATAAAATAATATGATTCATGCTCTCTGAATTAAATGCTACTTACTTTTAAAATATTTATTATTTTATGTTATATGTATGAGTGTGTTGCCTGCATGTAGATAGATGGGTGCACCTGAGACATGTAGTGTCTGCAGAGTTCAAAACTGGAGTTACAGATGGCTGTTAGCTGCCATGTGGGTGCTGGGAATCAAACCCTGGTCCTCTGCAAGAGCAGCCAGTGCTCTTAACTGCTGAGCCATCACTCCAGCCCCAAATGCTACTTACTTTACCAAACTCCTGGAGAACAGTTTTTGTGGCCACCTCATGGGAACTTCTGTCTCTCAAGTCAAGAGGTAAAACTAGGATATCTTTTTCTTTTAAATTGCCATTCTCTAAAAAAAGACAGGTAAACAGTATGGGAGTCATTCCATAGTTCAAGTGAACTCCTTGACTCTCCCATTAAATTTAACCTTTGCCATACTTAAAAGACTGGACAACGAAATTATTCTAGATGACTCTGTGAACTTGTCTCTTGTTGACCAGCATCTCATTCAAAAAATCTTACTGGCTTCAGAGGAAGTAGAAAAGAACATTAGAAAGGACTCTGGCAAAATCAAGATTATACTACAGTTGGCATGTGATGGCTCACTGTCATAATCCCAGCAATTAGGAGCCAGAGACACGATTCCTGAAGCAAATTTCTGTCCAGCATAGTCTAATATAGTGGGTTTCAGGCAAGTCTGAAAAAGTCGAGTCTCAAATATATATATTTATATGTATATATATGCAAATAAAATTATGCTATAAGATAAAGGAGAAAAATTCACCCAAGCGTGGTGGTCCACCACTGCAATCCCAGTACTCAGCACATGGAGCCAGGTAGACTGGGAGTTTGAAATGAGCATAAGCTACTTACCTAATCCTGTCTTAAAATAAACAACAATAACCAAGAAAAAAAGAAAAATTACACATTTTCTTTACAAGTATAGTTACATATTCTTTGCAATGGACACATAAAGGTCAGTTGCTCTTTCACAAACACTAATGAGCAATGGTTCACATTTAAATCAGTAAGAAGCTCAAAAGCCCAACAGTCAAGTGGTCCTCTGAAGCTTTTCACTCTAGACCAAGGATTCCAGTGGGCAAATGAGGAAAAACTCACAGTTTGTACAATTCTAACCTAGAAATAACAATTTGAGCTGTAACTGACCCTTTCTATTTCTGTTCACCAGAGAAACAACTGAAATCAATTATCCTGAACTCTAACCTTTCTATAAAACAAGAAATGCCAAGACTAAAAACAAGCAGTACAGAAAATGTCAGAGGAACAAACACTGTGAGATGGTGAGACATCATGGGTGTGAAAACAATGGAAGAGCTTGCTAGAGTGACCTCACAGAGAAAAGGGGAGCAGTGGTCCTCACCCCACTCAGAACTGCTGGGACAGGTCATCCTCTCTGCCAGAGCAGAGCTTGCAAGTCACAGAGGGGGAAGAGATATGGCCATTAAAAAAATATCAGGGGACAAAAACACAAGAGACTTTTTTTTGGTCTTTTTGAAACAGGGTCTCTCTATAGCCCTGGTTGGCCTGGAACTCGCTATGTAGACCAGGATGGCCTCCATCTCAGAGATCTTCCTGCCTCTGCCCGTGGAGTGCTGGGATTAAAGGTGTGTGAAGTCAAAGTCATCACACCTACAAGAGACTTTGAAATCAACATCATGAAAGAGGCTTGTGACTGTGCTGAGAGAGGGACAACAAACTCTGATCACTGGGTTAATGCAATCAGCAAAGGAAAGAAAGAGAATGACACGTAGAGATCACAAGTGTGCACACACATACACACACACACACTCTCTCTCTCCTGGTAGAAACATCAACACTATCTCACTTTCGGTTCTAACTTCCCTTGAAGCTGCTTTTCAAATGAACATGATCACAGCAAAATTCAAACAAAAATAGCACCCTTTATATGAGCATAGAAGATACTGCCTCTAGTTGCATTTTTATACCTAATTCCTTATCTTCCTTTTTGTCCTACCTTATCCCCCTGCCCCCAATATTTCTAATATCTAACATAAGGCTAAATAAATAAGGATTCTTCCTAAACTAAATTTTATTAGTTACACACATGAATGTTCTGGATAGGATCAAATATGTCCTTCCTCTAAGACATAAGGCATCTATCATTAAAAATCCACCAATACTTAAAAGTCCTGGTGGTGGCAGGTGTGGAAGCACACACCTTTAATCCCAGCACTCCACAGGCAGAGGCAGGCAGGTCTCTGTGAGTTCAAGGCCAGCAGCCTGGTCTACATAGTGAGTCCAGGGCAGCTGGGGCTACAGAGAGACCCTGTCGAAAAAGACCAAAAAAAAAAAAAAAAAGAAGACTTGGTTGTCACTGACTCCTAAATACCAAGAGTTGGTGAGAAGCCAGTAGAAAGGTGGCATCAATAAAGGAAAGCAAAGGTAGTACCTAAGAGATGACAAAGACGAGGCCTCGGCCAGTGCACTCGGGGCTCTGGAGCCAGAGTGAACCACTCAGGACAATCCCATCTTCTCTCAGGTCCCAAAGCGGCACTGGAGTTTGGATTCTGACTCACTTCTAGGAAGCACAGCTGCTTCTGTGGATCTACTCACCCAGGCATCTCCTCTTCACACGCTCCAGCTCCTGCACCCTTCGGGCTGACAGCACCAGATAGACTCCTAGTTTAGACAACTGGAGAGCCAGCTCCTCACCAATGCCACTTGATGCTCCAGTCACCCACACCACCATGTCAGTCAGCTCCCATTCTGCGGAAGAAGGAAGAGGGATGAAGAGGGCAGATAGGTGATGGGTGACACTCATATACCATAGAGCAAGAAAACATGAATGAAAGAATAAACAAACTGTAAACAATACCACTAAATATGAAGGCCTACTATGTGGAGCTTAAAAATTCAAGTACCAGTGCTGGAGAGATGGCTCAGTTCTTAAAAGCACTGACTGCTCTTCTAGAAGACCAAGCTTCCACTCCCAACACCCACATGGAGACTAAAAACCACCAGTCACTCCAGTTCCAGGGGATCCAACACCATTTTCTGGCATCGGGCATTTAGGACATGGGTGCATTTACATACGTGCAGGCAAAATACACAAAATAAAAATAAATAAAAGAAAATTTTTACAAACATTCAATACTCCAGACAGTACAGGCAGAGAGACAGTTTAGGTGGTGGAGTGCTTGCCCAGAGTGCACAAAGTCCTGGATACGATCCCCACACTTCTGTAAACTACACGTGGTAGTACAGGTCAGTAATCCCAGCACCTTGTGCAGAAGTTCAAGGCTATTCTTGGCTTCATAGTAAGGTGGAGGCCAGCCTGAGCTACAAAGACCTTTCCTCAAAAGAGTAATAATAATTCAAGTACCTTAAGAAAACATCTTCTACTAAGGTTTCTTAAAACATGAGTACAAACCATGTTATTACTAGTCACCTGCACGGTATTTTGTATATTTCAGAATCTTAGTGAATTTTCTAAACTTTACATTTACCTAAGCCTCCTAACTTCTATAATTTCATTCTAAGGCTCAATTTATCTACTTATTTAACAAAGAAAATTAAAGCTAGTGACTAGAAACTCATTGCCCAGGTTCAATATCCTTACCCATTAAATGGGAAATTCAGAATAAATGATTGCTGATGTCCCCACCTACTTTTCAGTTTGATAATTATGATTACTATAGCTAAAACACTGCTGAGGAATTGGAAAATATCAAATTTTGCTCAGTGGTATGATGTAATCTTTTTTTTTTTTAAAGATATTTTACATAGCACAGGCTTGCCTAGAACACACACTTGATTTTTCTGCCTGTGCATCCCAAGTGTGGGAATCACAGACGTGCACTACCTTGCCCCAGTCTTCAGGATTCTTAACTTTTTTCTTTCTTTCTTCCTTTCTTGTATGTGTGTGTGTTTGTGTGTGTGTGTGTGTGTGTGTGTGAGCACTGTGTATGTTTAGGCAGCAGGTCATGACATACTTGTTCATGACAACTAGTGTTCAGAGACAACTAGCAGGAATCTGTTTTATTCTACCTTTTCTACCAGACAACATTGTCTTGAAAATCTGATCCCCAAGTGAGTGACCTCACATCACAGAAGCTAGGATTTCATTCAAGATGAAATGCATAGGACAGACTGGTAAAGTGCTGTACTGTGCTTTGAATTGAGTTCCTAGTAAAGACTGAAAATGATCCAATATAAAAGCAAGATGGGAACTACTGTCCATCTGAACCTGTGGAGTCACTGTTGTACAAAATCTTGTGTCATGTATCTGAAATAGCTGTTATTGACCAAAACTATCATAGAAGTCATCATTTAACCTACCATTTCTAGTTTTCACCAGATTTCAGGATTCTGGTATACTCTTTCAGATACTTTTTATACCTATTCTTATTAGCAGAACCTTTAGCTCTGGAAATCATCAGCATCCAGTTCCATTTCACCACGTGACACAGTGAGGTACATCTCCCATGTGAAGACTCAAGAGCTTTTAATTTCCACAACTGGAAAAGTGATTAATACTAGAGCACCCTTCACAGGAGCTGAAAGAAAAGCCTTAACACAGCATCTAGTATACACTCAGGGCTTCAGTGCTGAGATCAACTGTAATCATCACTAAAATGTAAACAGATGCACTTTACAGCAGTAGAACATGGATTTCTCACGCAGTATCCTGTAGGCTATAATTTCTGCTACCCACGTGTGGTGGGGCTAGGTACTTAATGGTTTGAACATTTTTTCACTCATTCTCATGAGCTTAACACATCACAGTATTAAAACCTTCATTGGAGTCTTAGGAAAGCTCAGTTCTTCAGAAAAGAAAACTGAATTTTGCTGGATAAAGTTTCTCTCAGTAGTCTGTAAAATCCTTCAAGGTTAGGACCCTGTCCTCCTCCTTTGTAGCATGGCCTAAGTGCCTCAGAGTCTAGAAGATAGAAAGAACCTCAAAAATAAATAGCTAGTGGATAAACACCCAAGTACTGAGGCAGAAACAAAGCCCACTCTGCCCATTATCCTATGGTGGATATATTTAGTTACCATCAATTTTTCCTCCAGGGCTGGGGACTAAGCCCAGTGCCTTAAGATTGTTAGGCAGGTGTACTACCACCAAACTATAGAAATAAACAGGGTTGATATTTTAAAACCCAACTTAGACATTTCTTTGACATTCAAGAACATACAACTTGTCTTTAGAAAAAAGGTCAACTGTAAATATATAAACAAAGATGGAAACATACCAAACTCTATAACACTTTCCTTTCAGACAAGATGCTCTTGGGAAAAGGCACAAATGACCAAGAAATTTCCATGAACAGCTGATGTGTATTCAGGTAACAGTTAAACCTTTAGGACTACTCACTAAAAGTTTGACAGTACTTTATTCTACAGTGATTATGGTTTGATTTGTAACTGCTTATTAACTGCCTAAAGCTAACAGAGATTCCATTATTTATACCAATAAGCATATATCATGTAAGCCAAGCAGGAATCTGTCTGGCTCATGTTTATGCCCATCTCGTCACAGATCTGACCCCCATCTTCCCACCCTCAAACAGAAAAAGTATTAATTTAGCATCCACTTTTATTTGCTCATTATTTCCACAGGATCTGGCAATCACAAAGCCTGCTGTGAAGAGCCTCTGGAGCAGATACTGAGGGTTAACAAGAATCCTGGACATTCAAGTGCAACCCAGCTTGAGCAATCTCTCCTGAGGCCCTTGACTACTCTCTACCTCATTCCCTCACAGTGTGGAAGCTGGCTATCTCCAAATTGAGACAGCTGCCATGTCCTCCCTGTGTCCTGTCACCTCTGGCTTCTGTAAGGCTAAACAAGTCCAGTTTCTGCTCCCTGTCTTCATGTGACCCAGTGCTGGTATTCCTCACTCTGCTCAGGATACTCTGCCTGTACTGTTACTTTTCTGACCAAAAGTTATAGAGTTTATAGAGGATAGAGTTTATTTTGACTTATGGTTCCAGATAGATAAGAGTCCATCACAGAGGAGAGGCATGGCAGGAGGAGCAGGAGACTGAGAGATCACATCTTCGACTGCAAACAAGCAAAGACAGAGCAAACTGAAAGTGGGGGACTATGAACCCTCAAAGCCTTTTCACAGTGACATACTTCCTCCAACAAGCCAGTATGTTCTAAACCTCCCCAAACAGCACCACCAACTGGAGACCAAGTAGTCAAACGCCTGAGCCTGTGGAAAACACTTCTCATTCAAACCACCACACTGCCTAAGTCAGGTCAGCCAATGCTCCTACTAAGGGGAGCCAGCAAGATCAGGACACAGGTGTTGGGGGACCCTGCTGCTAAGGTTGCAGTCCCCCATGCCAGATAGCTCTAAGGAGCTATATATGGAAGGACTCCCTTTCTCAGCAGGGGGGCTCCTCTTCTCTGCCTGACTTATCTGGAAAGTGCCTCTGAGCACAGATGCCTGACCTTATTTGGAATATGACCTTGGGCATAGTTACCTGCAGTAAAACTGCCCCCAGGTTGTTTTCTATATGATAATTAGGCATTGCCCTATAGCCAGGTGATAGGATCCCCCTACTACATGTAAATAAAGCATACTATGAGCACCTATCAGCTGAAGCTTTGGCTGCTGCCTCCACACTACATTTTTCCCTGACCCCCACTGAATAAATGAGCTGTATCACTGAATCTGACACCCTGGAAGGTCTTTTCCATCATGCTCACTGGCTGTCCTGACCCCATTCGTCTCTTCTGCTCCCTTTGTTTTCATGGGTCAGTGGCCAATGGCCCATGAGGGGAGGGGGAGACCCACATCTGGCACCCAACATGGGGCTCCTAGGAATGCGTGGAGTTTGTGAGTACCCCCTCTCTCCAAGAGGGTAGCAGCAGCTTTGCCTTGGCCATCCCACCCTTGAGGAACAGCAGTCTCTCCTCTTTCCTCCTTTTACTTTCGGTGTGAGTCTTTGAGGCTTGCACTGTGGACGGGTGAGGAATTCCCTGAGGCCTTCAGGTCCCAGGAATGTTCCCCTAGGAATCAGTGTTTTACCCCCTTTCCTCTTCTATCTTGAACGATGCCCCTAGAAACAAAGAATCCCCAAAGTTCTATCATGCAGGGATTTTCACACAAGCATTGAATTCAATTTCTAAGATAACAAACTTCCTTATCTGTTTTGTTATCTCGCCCCCAGGGCACTCAGGCTCAAGCTAAACCAGTTAGGTGAGAACTTGGGCTCAAAGTGAACTGATTAGGTGAGAATTTAAATTGGCCTGCCCCATAACATAAACAAAAACAAGGGATTTAAAGCAGTGGGTAGCTGCAGATCACTTAAAGAATATAAGACAGCTTGCGCCATAAACAAATGGAAAAAAGATCTTAAAAGCCATTTTTTTCTGTAAACCTTTTCTTGGGGAAGGGGTTTGCCCAAGACAACCATCCTGCGTAGTCCTCCATGCACCCACGGGCTTTCCCTTGGGGGAAAATGCCTTCATGCCATGCACACCTGGATGGAAGGCTGGCTCACACCGAGGGCACGCACTTGCGCAGTGCAGGTCATGGCCTTTTTCCCCCCTCCAGGGGCATGCCACGGTGGTGGCTACTGCAGCCCACGGGAGACAAACTACTACCAACACATAGTTACAACAATGAGAGGGATAAAAAGGGATAGCGTACTTGGATGGGAGACTTAAGATGCGGACACCACTGGTACCAATCACTCCCCTTTTCTGCATTGTGATTCTACGCCTGTTTTTTTCTGGAATAGAGTATTTCCCTCTCTGATGCTCAGTTGCTGTATGCTTGCTTTTGTCCCTGCCACATCATTCCCTGGGTACCTTCCAGTTACAATGCCATAGATAGACTAAAAAGAAAAGAGTATTATGATATTGTCTCTTTACATTTTCTTTTAGGTACAGTTGTTTTCTGTGTTTCTTATTCCCCAGGTCATGGGTACTTAATTCAAGATCACGTATAATAAATTATAAAATGTTTTTTCCAATCCAGACTGACAGCCTTCTTCAAAGGAATTCACCATGCACGTTAGCAGTCTTGCCTTAGTTTAAAAGTAAAACATGGATAAACAATTTTTAAAAACTTTTAGGCTAAAGAAAAACAAATGCCTTTTTGTATTAATTATATTGGCAAATTGTCACGTGCTGTTTGAGCTCACTGAGACTCTGACTCTGGAGATGGGATTGGCCCTCCCACTTCAGACTCAAGCATATTATATCAAGATATGTTCACCAAAACTCTCCCAGGCTCAGTCTGAGCCCCTGACCCTGTGACAAGAAAAGGAGAACAACAAAACAGCCTAAGAGTAAATACACTGTACAATTAAAAACAACTAAGTTGTAAACTAATTTCAACTGACGGTATTACTGTCTATAGTAAAAATAGTTAATGGGATTCTCTATTTGGTCACTAACACAGACTAATGTAAAATGTGTAGTAAATACAAAGATAAATTTAACTACTTAATACACAACAGGATAGATTTTTTTTAAAGAGAGATCTTTAAAAGAGAGATCAGTCAGTAACTAAAGCATCAGTTTTCCTTAATTGATTATGCCAAAAGCTGCAAACATCAATTTGATAATGCTTAAATATGTACCAGTTGCTTCGTTCCATCCACCTCATCAAGTGTGTATGGCTTTGTCCAACATAGCCATTTTGAGATAAGATTCTCACATGTATATACATATATATGTATATTTATATATATGTATGTATATGTGTGTATGTTAAATTTTAATAATGTAAAAGTCTAAACAGGGTTATACCAATCGCTTCTTCCACCTAAAGCAAGCTGTTTGTAGACCACTCTCTAAACTACATAAGGTAAAATATTTTTAAACTGACTTGTGTTTTCTATAAGGTTTACCTGGAAACATAAAACACAGTATGTACATGGGTAATATTAACTTATTACATTATCTTATGCATATAATTTAGATTCCATGTTCTTTTAATAAGATGATGCTACACACTACTTTTTTAGTTAAACAACTACCATATTCATGACTTCAACTGTGTCCACTAACAAAAGATCATCACAATTGGACTTGTGGAGTTAAGTAATTAAAGGAGGAGGGGTAAACAGGGTCATTGGACCCTCACCTGAGTATACAGCTGCTCTTCCCAACCAACTGTGTGTTATTTGGCCCTAATCATACATGGTCTCCTGGGTTTGGGGAGGACTAAAGTGTATTATCTGAGGAAGGTTAGGAAGAGAAGGCTTGATCCTTGCTGGGTTAAGGCTTTCCAGTGTAAATAATCTTAGGTCACTCATATACCCCAGCAACCCCTCAGTCATCTCCATAACTAAGCTCAATAAATTCATTGGTTCCCCAGAAAAACTTTAATGTAATCAAATATTGGTTTGATATAACCTAAAATGGGGGAAAACATTGCTTAGTATCCCCAGTAAGAGAATTCTCACAAGATGAAAAATTTGTTAATAATATTATGTCGCATGGTTATTAAGAAAGAGAATGGTAAGGTAAAAGATGTTATAAGGATACAGGAATGGAGGTATTCTGTTAAAAATGAGAAAGCCTAAGCAAGTGATGGAGGCCTATGTAGGTTTGTTATGATTTATCAAGCATGAGAAAAAGATCTTAAAATTTCTAAGGTCATAGCTTAGTCAACTAGTTTAAGGCTGTCTCATCAAGGTTTATTTTAAAATGTTTGGGTTTTGCCAAAGCTCTATCTACATAATACATGGTAATTAAAAGTACCAGATTGGTGTAACTAACTTAATAGCCAGGCTTTGAGGCCTATGCTAATCTGGTCAGAGGGACTAAAAGGGACAATTTTTTGTTCCTTGCCCTCCAAGGTCAAACAAGTTCCAGGGGCTATGGAGCATCTCTCAAAATGTACTGTAACTTTGGTGAGTCACCTGTCCTCTTGTTCAGGGAGGTCATGGAGACCCCAGAAAATGGACTTAAACAAGTGTCCAGTCTACAAAGAGGAGGGTCAACACAGAGGAAACATTTCCTCCATACTTCTAAGCAAAGCCCAGGTCAAGCAGGACCTCTTGACTTATTTTCAAGTAGATGGAACTGGTAAAAGCCTGAGGGGCCAGGAGCTCCCCCCAAACTCATGTGACCTCTGAGGAACAGATCCTCATATGACCTTAAAAGTAATAATAAATTGGCTTATTTGGGCCAACTGTATGGTCTTAAACACCAAAAAGGAAAGTATAACCAAAGATTAAATTCATCAGTTTCTTTAAGAATTCAAGGGATTACACATCCCAGACATTAGACTTCAGTTCTTATGTTATTTAGATAATTATTTCTCATTGGTGGTTTTGTTCCTATAGGACAGTGCTATTCAGGTGTAGGACTTTAAATCTTGGTCTACAATACAGTAGTGCCCACCTGCAGCTGAGGGAAACAACTCACTATTGTTCTAAAATGATGGCTAAATTTGTTTTCTCTCCCTATCTAGAGACCATTTAAGAAGGAACTGATTCTAGCCACTCCAACAGTTATCAAAGTGCCTGACAAAAAATCCTGAGTTCATCAATCATCAGTCCAGCTTTAACAGACAAAAGAAAAATGAGGAGAAACCCGTTAGACGGATGTTTTTGGAAGCCCTCATTAAGAAATTCCAATGGACTTTAATTTGGACATTTTTCTGGTTCCCTGACTAGAAACTGTAATACTAACTACTCTTGCCTTTACTCTTACCTTTACTTTTCCTTCACACCTCCCAGGCACCAGTCAGGCACCTTCCTTTTCTCCCTATAGTTAAGAGTTATGTAATTTGGGAGTCTTTTACATAGATCCACTGAAGGGGGTACCCCAATTGCCTCACTCTGCATCCCTCTTCAGCACGGAAGCAGTCAGAGCGGTCTGCATCCCAATTCCCTATTGGCAATTTTGGTAAGCCTCTTCAGAGGATGGTATGATAAGAATGGGAGATAGAAATCAGCTAGGCAGATAGGGTAAAAAGACCCCAAAGAAAAGTAGCCAGTTTCTTTCTTGGCTAAAAGTCAAAATGTCCTTGGGCCTTTTAACAAAGTACTCTGTGCCAAAGGCCAAAAATATTAAACATATTTGGGAGCTTTTATCCTAAAAAGATTTTGGGGTTACCTCTTCAGAGAGGGGAATGTTACAATATCAATAGCCCCCTGATTATGCTGTGTTATTTTGAGGCTTGCTCCCTGTTTCATACAATTTCTTCCAAATTGTCACAATTGCTAAAATTACTACCAATCAGGTCATGGTCAATTATCAGACTTTTGATTCTCCCAAGATAGATGAATTGGCTCTTAAAGCTTGTGATGACACTTCTCCATTATAAAACAAAACAGGGGGAGATGTTGGGGGACCCTGCTGCTAGGGTTGCAGTCCACCATGTCTGGATAGCTCTAAGGAGCTCGGTGCTATATGGAAGGACTCCCTTTCTCAGCAGGGGCCTCCTGTTCTCTGCCTGACTTATCTGGAAAGTGCCTCTGAGCATGGATGCCTGACCTTGTTTGGAATATGACCATGGGCATAGTTACCTGCAATAAAACTGCCCCCAGGTTTTTTCTATATGATAATTAGGCATTGCCCTATAGCCAGGTGATAGGATCCCCCTACCACATGTAAATAAAACATACTATGAACACCTATCAGCTGGCTGCTGCCTCCACACTATATTTTTTCCTGACCCCCACTGAATAAATGGAGCTATATCACTGAATCTGACTCCCCGGAAGGTCTTTTCTGTCATGCTCACTGGCCGTCCTGACCCCTTTCATTGCTTCTGCTCCCTTTGTTCTCGTGGGTCGGTGGCCAACGGCCCATGAGGGGAGGGAGAGACCCACACACAGGGTTCCCAGGGGGTCTAGATAGTACACAGTAGGGTAACATACCTCAACTATTTGCCTTGTCAGTCAGAAGGGTAGTCCATGGAGGACTGTACTAAGCACTGTTGTGTCCCTAGTGCTTAGAACAAAAGAATCATTTAATCATTTGTAGTAGTTAGAGGCAATAAATGTTTGCAAAGGTTGCCAAGACTTCCTAGGCCTTTCCAGCAGCCACTCCACAGCAGGCCCAGCTGAGGCTGCAGTCAGCCGGTAAAATGCTTGCCTGCCATGCACAAGGCCCTGACTTCAACCCTCAGTACTGCAAAAGAAGTACTATTCCCATCCGCCCTCACTGCAATTCCTTTTTTTTTCGGTCTTTTTGAGACAGGGTCTCCTTGTAGCCCCAGCTGTCCTGGACTCACCATGGAGACCAAGCTGGCCTCGAACTCACAGAGATCCGCCTGCCTCTGCCTCCTGAGTGTTGGGATTAAAGGTGTGTACCACCATGCCCGGCTATTACTTTTTAATTCCACAATCATTGTATATGGATCTATGTGCTCTAGATATATCTGCTTTATACATGAAAGTTCTGTAAAGCTTATTCTTTAGTCAATGTTATTTTAAAATAAGTCAAACTTAAAATTTAAAAATCTATTAACATTTGTGATAGCTTTCTGTTACTGCATTGAACTACCTGAGAAAATCACCTAAAAGGATGAAGGGCAGATTTGGATCAAGGCTTCAGTATTCTGTCAGTCACTTGACCTAGCAGGTTTTAGGCCTGTGGTGAGACAGGACATCATGGCAGAAGTACAAGGCAGAGGAATATTGTGCATCTGGTGGCCTAGAAGTGAAAACAGGGAGACAGAGGGGCTGAGTCCCAGTCTACCCTTCTACAGCCCAGTTCTGATAACCTGCTTTCACCAAATAGGCCCCTCTCAAGATCCTTCCACTGCTTCCCACAGGCACTACCAACCAGTGACCAAGTCTTAAACACATGAGCCACTGAAGAAATTCCAGATCCAAAACTGTAACATTTCTATCACACAGTATATACTGAACAATTTTGAATATAACTATTTACTTACATAAATAGCAATATATCAAATTACCCATGCAAATTTGCAAATTATGTAACTACATAATAATTGGTGATTAAATTTAAATTATACTTGGAAATATTTTTTCCAGAAATATTTAAGCAATTAAATATATGTCTTAAAAAATATGTTTAGGGGCTGGAGCAAGAGTTCAACATTTAAAAGCACTTGCTGCTCTTCCAGAAGACCTGAGTTTGGTTCCCAGCACTGATATCAGACAGCTCACAACCACATGTGAATCCAGTTCCTGGAGATCCAATGACCTCTTCTAGCTTCTGAGGGGATGTGCACATACCCACACATAGATATATACACAAATAAACTCTTCAAAGTTATTTTCAGTAGCCAGGGATAGATAGAGGTGCAGGGCTGTAATCCCTGAACTTGGGAAGGAGAATTAGGAGCTCACAGTCATCCTCAGCTACACAGAATTCAAGGCCAGTCTGAGCTACATGAGACTGTCTCATCAAAAGAACCAATGAACAAAATTATTTTTAGTGGACTTAACTTTTAGCTTTTGCTTGATATGAGAAAATAACTTTTACTAGCTGTTCCATATAGATTCAGATAAAACTTTAATTAAATCTTCAAATTAAATAAAAGCATCAAGGTGTAAATGCAAACGGAAATCACAGGCAGCTGAAGGCAGTGAAAAGGCAAACACATTCTGTCTAAACACAACAAGGAGGAAAGAGAAAGCCCTACAAATAATCAAAGTGTAGAAGGTTTGACATTCCTGCTTTCAAACAAGAGACAGCCACGGCCACACTCATGTGTTTCCATAGTTTTGTAACATGGAACTTGCAAAAAATTGGTTTTGTTTTTTGTTTTTTGTTTTTTTTTTTTTTGTATTTGTCAGCATTGCACAAGTTGGAGTCAAGGAAACCCAAACACAGAAGTGAAACTCAGAGAAAGATTTTGTCTGGCAGACTCTTGGAGGGACTTAAAATACTATACTATCTTTATTTTTTCAGTTCCCAAGACCCTAATTTCACCTCCCCTGTCCTACTGAATTGGAAACAGCCTGTCTTCTGACACTTCCAAACACACTTCCTCACCTGCTTCCAGTATCTTTCACCCTGAACTTGGGACAGAGGCATCCCACTTATGTCCTGTGAGCATCAAAGCCAACCTTAGGCAGGTCATTCACTTTGTCCGAATGTCAGTTTCTCTGACGGAAAAATAACATTAATAATACCCACTTGGTTAAGAGTTGTCCCAAATGTCAGGAGTTGTTTGTGAAGTGCTCAGCACACTGTCTACCTGTTAAAACATGGGACCCCATATAGTAAACGACCGTTAAATACGAAGCAAGGCCCAAACCAAAATGGACAGAATGTCCCTTGGTGTGCCCCAGAACAATCTCGCTCCTGGCAAAATGCCAAGTCAGCCTTTTGACTGTTACACTTTCGATCTAGTGAGTAGGTGGGAGGGAGACAGGCAGAGGATAAACACCTACAGGAAAAACAGACACTGAGCCTCTCCACAAGGACGGAGGACACACACTGCTTCCCACGGTGTCCTCCCTGATACTGCCTGGGAACCCTGGATCCTAGTGAAGAACTGAGTCCTGCAGGTGCCCCAGGATTCCGGAGCCCTTTTGGAGTTCGGCGACTTCTGGAGAGCTTTCCTAGGCAGGACCAAGACAGACGACAGAGCGGCAAAGCTGCCCCTTGAGCCCCAGCCTCTTCCTCCCAGACCTTCAGCCCCTGGGAAAGGCTCAGCCTGGCAACACAGAGGCTCCAGCAGCAGGGAGGGGCCCAGGCCCACAGCAGAGGACTCCAGGATCGGGGCGTGGAGCCCCAGCATCGCGGACGCTCACCTGGGCGACGCCCCTGCCACTCGGCCCAGAGCAGCGTCAGGTCAGCATCCGCCCGCAGGAAACGCAGTAGCTGCACGAGGGGCAGAAGCAGCGCGCATAGCGCCATCAACCAGAGCACCAGCTCCCAGCTCATCTCGGCTCCTACGACTGCTGCTAGGCCCCGACCGGAAACCAGCCGTCCCGCCCAGTGCTCTGCGGGGTGAGCTGCAGGAAGGCGGGGCCCTGGGCGCCGCCCGGCCCCTGAGCTGTGCCTGGAGCTGCACCACGGTGGCCAGGGGACACACCCGTGCCCCAGCACCCCAGCTGCCTTCCTCCTGGAAGCTGTGTGTGAGACCAAAGAAGTGTTGCACTAGAAACAAAAGACATGGATGACTTAATTGCTTGGCGACACCGATGTTAGTAGTCAACAAGATTTATGATGGCAGGAAAGATTCTTTTTAATCGCGGCTTATAGGACCAGCACTTTCCAACACTCTGGTTGTGCCTAGGAGAGAAAGAAAACATCCTAACTGAATGCCGCCGAGGCTCTTTCCTCCCCTGCCCTACCTGGGAACCCAGCCCAAGCCTTTGTGCATAAACTGAGCCACACCCTTACTCCCTCAGCTACACTTACTTTCAAAACCTTTTTCCTTTTTTTTAAACTGAGTAAAAGAATCAGTGGGTAGGGCTGGGCGTGGTGGCCCCCGCCTTTAAGCACCCAGGGAGGCAGAGGCAGGTGGATCTCTGGGAGTTCAAGGTCAGCCTGGTCTCTACTTAGTGAGTTCCAGGCCAGCTGGGGCTGCAGGGAGACTGTCTCAAAAAGATAAAAAAAAAAAAAAAAAAAAAAAAAAAAAGAATCCATAGGAAAGATTACAAGAGAAAAAGCCTGTAAGGACACAGACTCTATCCAATAATTGTATTTATTTTTTCTTTTGTATTGTTGGTATTCTTTTTATGAATGGTTCATTATTTTTTCCATTGTAATAATAATAATTTCTTGAACTCCAACTTAAAAGGCAGGGACTGTATAAACTTCGATATCTTGCACCTGTAGCGTGCCCCAAGCATTGAAAGTCTCTGAACTAGTAATGAATTAGAAATCTCTGGGTTCTGATTCCAGGAGTCCTAAGGAGCATGTGAGCTAGCTAAACTTTAACCTGTGAGGTTGCTTGCCCTAATTGCCACTTGGAATAATACTGATCAAGAGTTGTTCTAGTGAGCTTGTCATCTTTGTCATGTGAATTTTACTTTCTATACAATGCATTGTTGTAGGACAGAGTTCACAAAAAAATCAACAACACCACTTTAAGAAAAGTAGCAAGGTAAATTTTAATTTTTGACAGGCCAGGCTATCTCGGGAGTAGAAGCAGCCCTGATGATTGTCGGGTCAGAGTTTTTATAGGATTGCAGAATTATTATTAAAACAGGACACTTGTGAACCAATCAGGTTTGTACAACATAGCAGAATTTTGACTCTATTAATCAACAACCAATCATTATACAGACAAGTGATAACAGTCATATAACTTGGCATCCAACTTTGTGACCTTAACACTAGCCAGCTATTTTAGCCATAATAAGTATAATAAGACAGTCAAAGTAAATGACTTCTAGGTGTTCATACAATAACAGGATAACAAGGGTGGTCTTATGCCCTGTGTCAAGGTGACCCAAGATAGCAAGCAGATTACAGAAGCAAAAACAAGCTGGTTAGTCAGATGTATAATGTCTGGATGTAGCACATTCCATGATTCATGACTAGGTCAATTTCCCAAGAAACAAGGTTGCCCCCCTTTTCCTTTTGGTGTGGAGCAAAGTTGCTGCTAAAATGGCTCTGAACAAAATGGAGTAACTTAGGTAAGTTTTCTGAGCCAGTTCATGCATTGCTTTTATAACAAGATGTTTTAAAATACCATGCTGAGTTTTGTGATGAACAAACACCGAGGAGTGAGTTAGATTTGGTGTTACAAGTCTGGTCATACAATTGTTGGAAAAATGATTCTCTAGCTGTAGGGAGAAGGGATTGCAGAAGGGATAGTGGGCTTGGAAAACTGGCAAGGAAAGTGTGATCTCTGCTCTGTCCACCCCTAGGGGTTAGATCCCTGTGAGTTCTGAGTGTCAAAGTGCCAAAGTGTGTCTTCAAAAAAAAACATTTATTTTGTACTGGAGTATGTTAGAGGCTGGCACCTTGCTGACCTCCTTTGACTTCAATAATTTCCCTATTTTTTCCCCTCAATATTTTTGATATGAGTTGAATCATTAGTCTAACTTTTTCATCTAAGGTAAAAGGGTTGTTTTTCTGGGGTTTAATGTTTAACCCTTTTGAAGTAAGATTCATTTTCCTATTCTATCACAAAGGGTATTTTTAAAAATCAGCAAACCTTGACTTGTAAAATGGGTTTCTCAAAACTAGATGACCATAGCATCATGAGATTTTATCCATAAGATTTTTCTCAAGATTTTCTGTTATGCTGTAAATTTTGTGTAAACCTTGCTAAACTGCTAACTGCATGTTTCTGCTTTTGTTCTGAGCTTCTTGCTTGTAAAAGGTCATAGAAGACCTATAAAAGGACTTTGCTGTTTTAACTCGGGGCTGCTTATCTCTTGTTCCTATGGAGAGTAAGTTTGACATGATTGCAATTATAAATAAATTTTTACCTTGCTGCATCTGTCTCTGAGACTGATTGGGTCCCATCTCCGACACCACAACACAGTAATGGCTCATTGTTAAGAGCACTAGCTGCTCTTGCAGTTTCGATACCCACTACCGACAGGATGGCTAACAACTGTCTTCAGTTCCAGGGAAATTCAACACTATTTTTTGACCTCCCTGAACCTTACACAGCACTGGTGCACTTAAATACATGTAGCAATTGATAGGTAAAGTAGGCCATGGATGAATCCAGTTGATCAGGAGAAAGCACCAGGACATGGATAAACTCCATCAGAATAGAGTTTATTAGCAAAGGAACACATGGGACAGATTCCCTTCTAGGTAGGGAAAATATCCGCCCTGGGTTGTGAGCTGGGGTCTTTTTAAAAGGGGAGGCTTCTGGGAGGATGCAGAAGGTGGGAAGATTATATATATATAATTTGTTTAAGTTAGGTGGGGGGAAGCAGGAGAGCAGGACTGTTAAAATCTGCCCTCTTTAGCGATCAAAGGGGAAGCTGCTGTGTTGGCCAAACAACGAGAATAGTCTGCTTCTCTTGACTTCAAAGACCAGAGTGCTTATCAACTCAGGTCCCTTTTCTCAGGGGCTTGTGAGGTCCCTGAGGCCCTGTTGGTGAGGGGACGGGGCTATCTGAACCTTAACAGCAATACACTCATACATATCAAATAATAATAATAAAAATAAATAATAAAATATTTTTAATTTTATTTTGTGTTTGTGCACATGTATGTGTATGGGCACTTGAATGACACTGCACGTGAGAAGGTCAGAGAACAACTTTTAGGAGCCAGTTCTCTCCTTCTACTATGTGAATCCAAAGCATCAAACTCAGGTCCTCAGGCTTAGTGGCAAGTGCTTTTACCCACTGAGCCATATCTACAGCCCCAGAATGTGTCTTTTAATATGATGATCTGGTCCAGTATAAATGCTTCCTTCAAACCAGCATGCATAGTTATTATATACAATTAAGTGTTCCATTATTAATTTACAAACTCTCCATTTGTAAATGAACTGATTTTATGCTCTGATTTGGCTAGGCCATGATACCCAGTTGTTGGTCAAATATCACGGCTGCTTCCTTCTGGACTTCGGAACAGTGCTGAAGAAAGATGTGCCTATCACTCTGGACCCCGTAATCCAAAACAAACAGTCTCTCCATTGGGACAGGGCCCTTTCACCAGCAGAGAAAAAGACTGAAACCATGCCACCATTCAACATGATTCCGACAACACAGACTCAACTAGTGTCTATGTAGCAACCACAAAGCTCAGCTCAGTGCTAAATCCCATCACCCCATCACATCCCAATGTCAACACCATTGTAAAAATAGAGAATGTCATTAATACTATGGTCTTGTCTAATAAAGTGGCCTCCCATTTCTGAATAAGTTAATAGTTAATAGTTAAGCATAAGGTGAATTTTGTACTTGTTATTTCCTTGCAACCTTTGAAGCCAAAAACAATGCACAATATCAGGGAGCTGAATAACCACAAATACCATAGAACGTCTTGATGAAAAACAAAGGCAATTGCTAAATTGCATATACCTGCTTCTGTAAACATGCTCGCTTGCTTCAGCTAGGATAGGGGATTATTGAGTGTTTTTGGAAATTAAATTCTGACCACTGCACTTGTCTATAAAAACTAACTGTAGCCATGAGTCAATGCTGTCCTCTGAGCATTCACCTGGAGTCCAGGGACAGCCCTGCCATAATAAAGTGTCCTTCCTTGCTTTTCACTGGTGAATGGTGACTGCTGATTTGTACCCTACTACATTTTGATGCAGCAAAACTTTCATTTTCTCATTTCTGAAGGAACAGCAACATAGCTCAGTGGTATAATGTATACTTAGCTACATAGGGAGCCCTAGATTCAATGTCCAGTACCAAAAAAAGGTAGTATGGGGAGACCTAATTCCTATAACATGTACTCTGATGTCAAAAGGTTTTCCTTGGCAGAAACTAAATATGACTTTCAAACAGTGATAGCATTGGGTGTAGTTGCACATGCCTCAATTTGAGCACTTTAGAGGCTGCGTCAAGAGGATTGACACATGTTCGAGGCTAGCCCTGAGCTACAGAAATCAAAAGTCAAAATAAACAAAAAACACTAGACTCAACAGCTCTCCTGTCCAATGTAGACCATTAAGCTGAATTCTAAAGAGAAACAAATGCCTTTTTGTATTAATTATATTGGTAAATTGTCATGTGCTGTTTGAGCTCACTGAGAAACTGACTCTGGAGATGGGATTGGCCCTCCCAAAACTAATTTCAACAGAGGGTATTACTGTCTATAGTAAAAGTAGTTAATGGGATTCTCTATTAGGTCAAAATACTGAGTAAAGTCACTAACACAACCTAATGTAAAATGTATAGTAAATACAAAGATAAATTTAACTACTTAATGAAAAAAACAACAGGATAGATGTTTTTAAAAAGAGGACAATTCACAGTTGATGGAGAGGACAGAGAGGATCTTCTACCTAGAATTCTTCAGTTAGTAACTAAAGCATCACAGATTTCTTTTATTGATTATGCTG